AGCATCACAGACCAACACTAGGGGTAGTTCAGCATTGTATTGAATAAGGAAACTGTCCTCAGACAAAAGTCTCTTTACTGCGTTGAATGCAGCCGCTTCTCGTTTGCCCCAAACCCACGGAACGTTTTTTCCAAGGAGCCTGTGCAGGGGCTCCGCAACGGTGGCTTTGTGTTTTAAAAACATCGTATAGAAATTGAGAAGGCCCAGAAAGGCCTGCAGTTCGGACTTCGATTTGGGGGTGGGCGCGCTTCGGATGGCCCTGACTTTACTTTCTGTGGGGTGAATGCCTGTGCCGTCGATTCGGTAGCCTAAGAATTCCACTGATGGAACCGCTATTTTGCATTTTGCTCGTTTGAGTTTAAGTCCCGCTTCTCTGAATCTGGTTAGGACTTGTCTAACCCTCTGCCTAACTGAGTCTCGTCTTGGCCACTAATCAAAACGTCGTCGAAATACGGGACGACACCTGGGAGGCCTTGTAGAAGGCGCTCCATTGTGCTCTGAAAGAGCCCAGGGGCGATGCTGACCCCAAACTGAAGTCTGGTGCATTTAAAGGCACCTCTGTGAGTTACTATTGTCTGTGATTCTGCCGTAGCGTCATCTACAGGCAGTTGTTGGTACGCTTGCGCAAGGTCTAGTTTTGCGAATAGCTTGCCAGGCCCCAGGGAGTGCAGTAGATGGTGGACTATCGGAACTGGATAGGCGCTCTGTTGCAACGCCTTGTTAATTGAACACTTATAGTCAGCACAAATTCTAAGTGAGCCATCCGATTTGACTGGCGTGACTATCGGGGTTTCCCACTTAGCGTGATCTATGGGAATTAGCACCCCTTGCTTAATGAGCTTGTCGAGCTCCGCATCAATTTTGGGCTTTAAAGCAAAGGGCACTCGTCTTGCTTTCAGTCTGATTGGCGCTACGTTGGGGTCTAAATTAAAGGATATTGGGGTCCCCACGTACTTGCCTAGAGTCTCTTCGAAAACATCCCGAAACTCATGGAGAAGGGTTTCTTTGAGGGATGATCCGCTGATGCTGTGAATGCCCGTGAAGCCCATGCCGAGGGCTTGGAACCATTTCATGCCCAGTAGACTTGGTAGGGGCTTGCTGACGACGGTCAGGGGAAGCTCTTTCTGGAACTCGCCGTAGGTGACCCGGAACGTGCCTACGCCTTCAACGGGAACTCGGTTTCCCTGGTAGTCGAGGAGGCGGATTTTCTGACGGGACAGCTGGGTTTTCTGGAATTTGGGCAGGAGCGCCTTGAGTGTTGTCCAGGACATGATCGATAATGTAGACCCGGTGTCAATTTCCATTTCGCACGGTCTGCCATCGATTTCTACTTTTGTGTAGACTTTCTCATCGTCGCTGACCGGCTCTCCTTCTTTTTGAACTCGTTGCCGGAGTTCGTAGCGCTGTACAAATTTGGACGGAACCGGAGCATAGTGAGCTCTCAGGTTGGCCTGTAGGACGTCCCAGGGAACCGTCTGGACTGGGGTTGGCTCGCAGAGGGATTCGGCCATCTCGAATACGTCTGGCCCCCAGTGGCTTAAGAACAGGGCCCTTTTTCTGTTCGCCGAGAGCCCTTGCATTTCGCTCGCTTCCAAGGAGCACTCGAACCTGGTCAGATACGATCCCCACTTCTCTCGGGTTGGGTCGAAGGGTTTTGGCAGAACGTAGGCAGACATGCCGTGTCTCCATATTCGCTAGTCACCCTGGCTGAAACTCAGAGCTCTTTTTGAAATGCTTCTTGTGGCCCCTATCCCACCTTCGTCGCCAATGTTGTAGCGCGGGAATAACGAGAGGCACAAGCAAGCTAGTGACAACAGCTCTTTAATTCAGGGTGAGACTTCAGCAAAAGAACACAGACAACAACCTTCCTTATATACTTTTCAGAGGCAACCAAGAACCAATCAGAATTCACTTTACATTTGAATTTCCCGCACAAAATAGATACATACATAACACAATTCTCATTTAATGTCATGATAAAATGATGTATAGCTTTGTGTCATATATTTGTGTCTGAAAAGTGCAGTTTGAGAGATCCTTCAAAATAGGCCTAAAGATTCAGGAAGATCTTCAGGAAAGCAGTGGGTAAATATAGCAGAAAGAATATTATTAATAAGGTATCAGATGGTGGAATGTGGAATAGTTGAGGTAATGGTACTTTGATAGAAATACGTACTATATATCAGGTGCATGAAAAATGGCCTGGTGGGATTGGAGAAGCTTCCATTATTCATGAAACAAATGGGAACATTTATTCTTGGGAATTATCACAGAGACTGAATGTTCAAGATTGACCTCCAGCTTCAGTTTTTCTAAAATATAAAGCTAACTAATTCATGGCAGTGGCTGCCACAACACTGACAGGGTCAACAGATTCCGCCCACCCATGTTTTTGTGCTTGCTTCAGAAGTATAAAGCATTTTATAACAATGATAGTTATTTCACAGCCAAGCTATCCCAAGGTGTTCAGTGGTTTATTTAAGATTGTTTTTCCCTGGGATGGGTGAAGTGAAGGCAATATTTTGTGGCCAAAGGGGAAGATTAGGAATGTTAGGGTATGATGGGGCTGTTGCAAGCTACAAGTGAGATTTGGGCTAGAGTTCTGTTCAGAGACCAAAGCCTCTTTAAACTAACACAAAGATTAAAAAGACTTTGCCTTTAGCCAAAGCACATGTGCTATAATTAATCTCACCGTTATAGCAAAGGAAGCCACTAGTAAGGTATACTCCTTCCCCTATTTCCTGTTTTCTTTCAGAGACTCAGAATCATCTGGTATAGTTCTTATTATATACTATATAGTCACTGTTTTAGATTATATGTGAAAAATCTTTTCTCTGCTCTTTTTCATCCAGCTCCTGATCTCCAACTGCTCTTTATCAAGTTTCTACTCTCTACTATTCCACTCTGAATTTTCTTCCAACCCAGATTTCTTCCCTTAGATTTATCTTTCTGCCCTCCCTCAAATTTAAACAAATACTTTTGCCTATATCTAAGAAAGCCTTTGGTGATATATCAAAACCCGCCTGGACTACTGTAATGCTCTCTACATGGGGCTCCCCTTGAAGAGCACCCAGAGGCTCCAACTGGTCCAGAATGCGGCCGCGCGGGTGATTGTGGGAGCGACGTGGCGCTCCCATGTAACACCTCTCCTGTGCGAGCTGCACTGGCTTCCGGAGGTCTTCCGGGTGCGCTTCAAGGTATTGGTTACCATCTTTAGAGCGCTCCATGGCTTAGGACCTGAGTATCTACGAGACCGCCTTCTGCCACCGGTAGCCTCCCACCGGCCAGTATGCTCCCACAGAGAGGGGCTCCTCAGGATGCCATCAGTCAAACAATGTTGATTGGCGGCCCCCAGGGGGAGAGCCTTCTCTGTGGGGGCACCTGCCCTTTGGAACGACCTGCCCCCAGAGATACGAAGGATCCTGGATCTACGCACCTTCCACCGTGCCCATTCTATTCCAGCAAGCCGGGCTGGCGTAGCTCTTTTAATTATTTTTAATTCGTTTTTTTAAAAAGGGTTGTTTTTTTTTAATATGAGCCAAATATGGGCCAAATTTGTTTAATATACTTTTAAATTGTTTTAAATTTTATATTTTTATGTTTTTATTTTTGGCTGTACACCGCCCTGAGTCCTTTGGGAGAAAGGTGGTATATAAATTTAAATAATAAAAATAATAATAATAAATAATAATAATAAAAAACAGAAGAGAAAATCAAACTCTGACTCTATTGCTGATCCATTCATTCCAAGGAACCTGACTATTCATGAGCTAGACAGCAGATCACAAAAACAATTCTAGAGAATAAGTTGATCACAGACACAGTCTGACTTTCTCATTAGGTAAAACTGTCCCATTTCTGGGTTGATCATTATTACCAAAATGAAAAAAATATTGATAACTTCGTAATCCAGAGAAAATATTATTTTGCAAACAGCTCTAACATTTGTACTGTGTGTTACTGATAAATCAGAACCTAAAGAGGCAAATGCTGTTCAAAGAATCCATTTTCTTAAAAGTAAATATAGGGGTTTCATGAGGGGAAATGGAAAGCTTTCTCTGCTTTCCATTTTGATCTCCCCCAGGTGCAGGAAGACTTACATTGGGGCAAGAGTATACATGTTGTATGGCTATCTTTGTATTTTTATCAGGAACAAAAAAGTGCTCAAGAAGTAATTAGTTTCTGGGAAATAAGGGGGGGGGATATTACCAAGAAAAAATAGCCCCAGGTCTCTACAAATGTTGGCATCATAAAAGTATGCACTGAATATCAACAGTTTAGATATTCTTAGCTGCCTTCAGTGAAAGCCATCCTTAAATAACAGTTACCACATTCATAGTAACCAAAATCAGGCTTTTGCAGGACAACTTAAGTATGACTAAGTTGATAGTAGTCTTGAAATTTCCCCTTTTGAGCTGTGTATCAGGTAGTTCAGGGACGAGTGAGTCACACAGGTGGCGTTTGGAGCACAGTCTAGACTAGCATCTACCACAAATGTCTTTTTAGGCAGAGATGTTCTAAACACAATGTTTTCTTGTTGCCATTACATGCCCCTACCACACTCCGAAGTAGTACTGTGTGGAGCCTGACCAGATGCAAAAGAAGATCAGCATTCTATAACTTAAATGAGATTCTGATCAGATCCTAGGACCTTCTCAAAGCATCCGATTTGAAGCAACTGTTATAAACCCAAAAACCCTGACCTTTCACATAGGCCAAATTATATTTCCACAATTCCTACTTTTGTGCACACACACAAAATTGTAAAGTTTGTAAACTCAAGATCTTTTATAGGTTTGAGCCTAGATACAAACGCATTGCATTCAAGCACTCAATCCTCACTCCCTTTTCAGAAATCAACCGTTTATGAGGGTTGTTTTATTGGGGGAAGCGGGATGCCTTCCGTTTTGTGACGCGCTCCTCACGAGTTGTTGTTTTATAAGGCGAAAAGGACACGAGGCTTGCCTTCCCCTTCATAACTGGGCTGCTGGGTGGGACGTGGGGTAATGGGGAAACTGATGCCAGGAGGCCGAGCACACGAGCCTGGCATCCTGGTCGACTGAAAGGGGGCGACGCCACCCCGCGCGAGGCACGAGAAAGGCGCTGCTCTGTTCGGGGACGGGTTCCAGAGCCGGGCGGGGAGGAAGCGTCGCCCCAGGAGCCCCGGTCCCGCCCAGGTACGACCAAGGAAAGGGGCGTGGAGGCCCAGGCGGCTGACAGCCCGCGGAAATGCGGAGGCTCCCGTGGCCATGGTGTGCGGAGCAGATTTCCCTCCCTGCTTTTTGCCGGAAGATTAGAAATTTGTTAGCCGGCTGGAGAAATGGAGACGCCGGTAAGTTTTGCTTTCAGTTCTCATCCGCTTTCCTTTGCCCTACTTAAACTAAACTAAAATCCGTATTGATCTGAGTTCCAGCCGGTTCAAACAGACTAATCTTCCCCCGATGTTTTCTCTCTCAGGCACTTTCTCCCCGTTCATTCCGACTGAAGCGCCTAGCCAGACGCTCCTAAAACGTACTTATTTGGAAACAACGCCGATTGCTCAATTCATTATTTACGCTAACTAATTCGTTTTATAAAAGTCGGCCGTGGCCAATTCGTGCATTCGGATCAGACGAGCCGCTTGGAAGCCTGAATCGGTTGGGGTTTCGCCTGCCTAGTGGGCTGCCCACAGCTGGATTCGGGTTCCCGGAAATCCCGCGCGCCCTCGGTGGCAGAGAGTTCTCACTGGCTGTCGATTCTCGACAGCGGAGGAGGAGAAAATCTTGTAACTTTCCTTGTAATTAATTACCAAACAATGTCACTATGATCCCCTGACGTAAGTGGATTTAATTCAAAAAATCAAAAATATTGCCAACTCCGCTTCAGCAGCTGGTAGAAGCCACCGTCCAAGGACAGAGGCAGTTTGCTACGGAGCAGAGATAACTTTGCCTTCACCCCAACAATTGTTGGTCTTCTATCAGCCACTTGTTTAGCAGCTGTTGGAAAGCAAGTGCTGGACAAGGTGAGCTGTTAGTGCTATTAAGCAAGGCAGTTCTTGTGACTTTGATAAGTTCTATAGCTTTAAACAATGATATTGACATCTCAAGGCTAGGACCAGGAAAGAAGACCATCTGTGACTATTTTCTGGGTGAAAACCAATGTGCGCTGCAGAGTGACCTATTCCAGTCCTCTTAGCCAGGCAGTGCCAGGCCCAGAAAGAGCAAGCATTTCCAGGGCTTTTCCTGGAATCCTGAAACAAAGTCTACTTGTCTTGGTGACTACAATAAACAAGGTTAAAATATAAAAATAAAATAAAATACTGTATTGTTTTTCCATGGTTAGGAAGCGAGACTGGTCCTTTTTTAATCCTATACTATAAGCAATATCAGTTTGTCCTGCATTAGTTAGTTGCAAATCCCCATTTTATCTAGAAACGTATTTTCTTTGTAAACCTGCAATAAATGAAAAAGCACCATCATTACTTTTGTTTCATCACCACTGCATTTGTAATAGATTATAATGCAAATTATCTCTGATAACCTGGGCAAGGTGTGACAGATTCTCCACTCAGAATCTTTTTGGTGGCAACAGGATAGATATGAGATGCTGTTGAGTTCTAGAAACTAAAAATGCACAAACTGAATAGGAACTGGGCAACTGTGAATAGGATGAAGAGACATCCAGATCATGCACACTGAGTATACACACGTCTGATATTCTAGGTCTGAATTTGCCAGAGTAAAAGTTTGCAACCTGTGTCCTTCGATATGTTATGTTTATGCCTTCAAGTTCACTCCTGGAAAAGTATCTAAATTTTCTTGGCAGGAATTTAGAAGTGATTTGCCATTGCCTCCTCCCTAAGGCTTACAGAATGTGTCTGGCCTCCGGTCACCCAACTGGTTTTGGACCTAAAATGGAACTAGAACTCCCAGTCTCCCAATTTCTAAGATACTGATGCCTTAACCACCACTGTACACCAAATTTGCTTTCTGGCTATATGATTTCAAAACCTTGTGTCACCAATAAAAATGGGTGGAGTTTTGATCTCATGATTCTAACTATCATCTTGATATATTTTACCCTTCCTCTGCAAACATAGAGGAAAGGATGGTCTATGCTTTGGTTGTAATTGCTGTTGCATCAATTTGTTCATCTTGTTGCCCAGTTCCCAACAGATTTTCCCTGAGGGAAAATTACTCATCCTGATGCAGAATTCAGAGGAAATATGTTGAAGTTTCCTTGATCATCTGAGAATCCAACAAATTTCCCTGTGCTGGGAATTGGGCTGGTTATTAACTTTCCGTGCATCCATGGCTTGGATGCACCAACTTTTATATAAGCATTAAATACATACATGTTTTAAATTAGGACCCAGCATGCTTTGGAAATTAATTCAGAAATTCATTGGAAGTTGTATAAGAATAGCATTTCCCTGCTATTTATTCAAGCAGGCCAGCTATGAAGCCCAACTTCTGACTCTTTTTCCAAGAATATATACCCTAGAAGCTTCTGTGAGGGAGGTCTTTTAAGAGTCAAGATCATAGCCATAATTCCACCTATGTTTATGTGCAATGCATGTAAAAAGGGGCAGGTTTTTGACTTTGTAGTTGTGGCCTGGCTACTATTCTGACCTTTTTTAAAACTACCCCCCCCCACGATGCTGCCGGCACAGCCTTATATATTAAGTTAGAAAGAAACTGCAGTGCTCCGCAATTCTGCTCACATGAATAATTCATAACTGGATTTCCTAGTCTCTATTTCCTCCCATAATCATAACTAACATACAGATGCTAATTTGACTGGAGCAATAGTAGTTATAATGTTTATTTTTTACCATTAAGAACAGGAAGAAACTCTCTCATTTTGTCATCTGCCAAACTAGTAAACATGCACCAAAAAAAGTGATTAGGAAAAAATGCAGATTTTTGCTCCTATTTCCCCCTCCCCCCTTCTTTTTCCTGGTAGATCTAATAGCTTCAGGTGTAGAACATTCATTTGGAAAAAGATGCAGAGGGCATAGGGTTAATTTCTTCCTCAGCTGCTGCCATAAGACAGCTCAAGCGTTCTTAAATGTTTAAAAAGGCATCTGAAATCCACTCCAATAGTGTTTAGTTTGAGATATTCCAGGATGTTCAACGGAAGGGCTCCATCAAAATATTTTTATTGCTTTTCACATCAGTGGGGAGGAAGGGAACAAATGGTAGAAATGAATGAAGATAATACATTATTGGTACATGCTTACCTAAACGTACTGTCAGCCTGGATCTTCTGGAGCTATAATGACAAGGTCAGGGTAATTCTGCAGCCAAGCCTTCAAAAAGGACCTGGAGAATATGAAGTTCACTTGTTGAGGTTAAGCCAAAGGAAAAGGGGGAGGAACCATCCAGTGATCTGAGGCTTTGAGTGCTCTGAAGTTGTTGAGGGATATGATCATTTTCTTCTGCTGCAATTTGGATTATGGACAGAGAACTGTAAACAATTCCATTGAAAATTAAAGTTGAAATTAGGAATTAAAGAAAGCTTTCAAAGGAAGCTTACAAGGAAATGCCAAATTGAGTGGATAATATAGGACCACAGGTGGCACGCATAGCCATATCAGTGGGCATGTCGGCTCAGCTCTAGCGCGCATGCGCACGCCAGCCAGCTGACTTTCAGGTCTTCTGGGCCCACCAGAAGTAGGGAAACAGGCTGTTTCCTGCCTCCGGAGGGCCTGGCGGGGGTGGGGAAGGCCCGTTTTTCTTTCTTAGCTGGTTCCAGATCCTCTCTATGCATCTGCAGAGGGCGAAAACAGCCTTTCCCACTCCCTCGGAGGCCCTCCAGAGGCCTGAAAGGGCCCATTTCCCAACTTCGGTGGGACAGGAAGTGACATTTTTTGCTGTCCCCAGCCTCCAGAGACTCCTAGAGAGGCTCTGGAGGCTGGGGACAGCAAAAAAGTCACTTCCTGTCCCACCGAGAGTTTGGGAAATGGGCCCTTTCAGGCCTCCGAGGGAGTGGGAAAGGCTGTTTTCATATTCCCAGATGCATAAAGAGGATCTGGAGCCAGGTAACAAAGAAAAATGCCAAGGACGAAGGGGCGATGTCCGGCATTTTCGAGGGTGTTGGGGGGGCAGCTGACCATCTTACAACCCCCGCCCAGCAAGCTGAAGCATAGCCGGCTCGATTGAGCCGTAGATGGAGCTGGAAGAACACCCGGCCACTGTGGAGATAGTTAGGGATGGCGCGGCGGGCGGTAAACGGCGGCGAACGTTGAAACCGAGGCCCAGCTGACTGTCATAAATCAAACGGCTGCGGGGCTGGAGCGGTTGAAGCAACGGTCAGCGATGTTGCTGTGGCGGTGGCGGCGCAGGCAGCGCCGGCGGCGGTCCCTGGGCTGCTGTAAACTTGATTTGCAGCGTACTGGGCGCTGCGGGCGGCGACGCGGGGCAGCAGCCATGGATACGGAGGCGGAGCCGACTAAAATGACACTTGCAACTACGATGTTGACAGCAACAGCAACACCGGGAGGCTAGGCTATGAGGATGCCCTCTCTAGACAATGGAGAGGGCTTTGCTGCAAGCAGTTACCCCCCCTCGATGTAATGGGGAGGGGGCCTGGACATTCACTTAATCACCTGAATTCAACTTAATCACCTGAATGGCCCTATCTGAAAGAGCATGGTAGTGGTGGGGGCTGAGAACTGAAGACATTTTTTGATCTTCCCCTGTCTGCTTCTCCCCCCCCCCCTTACTAGACCTAGGCCTAGTTTGGCCATTCAGCGAAAAAAACAAACAAACAAACAAACAAACTTGCAGCTGTTTCGATCAACTTATAGCCTTTTTAAAATATCTTTTCCTCCTTGACTATCCTAATTATCCTGATTATTTGATTTCATCTCTTCCACCTGGATGCTCCACTTTTGCTTTTTTCGACCTTATCTTCGGATTTTTGCTGGTATCAGAAAGGGAGGAAGCATAGACATCGAGAGTCTTGAACAATTTATTTGTAATATTTATACAAGTGGATGGGACGGACCATCTTCTCCTTTGTTTCTGTAACTCTGGACTGGTCGCCGTGAGAGGGCAGTCATTGTGACTCTCATCCCCCTTTTTTATGACTAACTTATTTTAATCACAAGACTTTCCCATCATTGTAAGAGGGAGATGGTATTCCGATGTTCTATTATATTAGCTTCCTTGTACAATTATCTACTTTACCCTTTTGTCTTAACCATCTGTTTTAAACCATCTTTAACACCTTTAGAAGAAAATGGCCTTTCATCGCCTCCAATTCTATCTCACCTCCGATGTATTCAATAACAGAACTCCTAGCACTGTGAGATTCCCCCCTCTCGCAAGTTTGGCCCTCCCAGTTATC